CAAGGCAGGCTTGTCACTACAGAGCATCCCCAAAACTAGTAACACCCTGACTCCAAAAGTTGGCAGTAAGCTCACAGGCTGAGGCAGAATCCCCAAACAACTGAAGACAGAGGTCCAATTTGGTTTCACTTTGTATGATTTTCACTTGGATGGAGAACAGTCTTCATTCATGCAGCAAACATTCAGTGAAGTCAGCTCTGTGCCTGCTGCTCTTGCAGCAATGATGTTGACACTGTTTCTCCTTTATGTTGGGTGTCAAGGGCTTTTCTCTTCTGCCGTTTTTGTAGTGAACTGTTCTGCCAGCTGGTCCTGCCAGGAGGGGCCTTCATCCCACGGATGAGGTTTGGAACTACCTTCCCCCCACTTGGTATCAGTGTTGGTCCCTCTTCTTTGGGACTTCTCACCCTCTGCCCTATTCAGTTTTCTTAGCAGTGGTCATGACTAGAGAAGATGGATTTCTCAGGAGTGAGTGGAAGAGTTGTTTTGGTTTTTCCTTATCCCTGGCAAGGACTCTGATTTTTCAGCTAATGAGGCAGAAGACATCAATAGGAAGAGAAAAATAAGAACTTTCCTTGCCAGAGTTGCTTGGTTACCTCATCAACATTCCCTTGCAGCCCAGCCAAATTCTCTCTGCATATTTTATAGAGTATTTGTTTTATTGCTAAAATTGATCTCTTAAGCAGAAAATATGGAGAATACATGGAGCGCCTGTCAGTTTTAGGCTGTTTATTTGGATTTCCGTTTTTCTAATGACCTCCCTCCTTATTGTCCTTTTCATTCCTAACCCAAGTAACATGCAAAAGGGATCACAGCAGCATCTGTGTTGGTGAATTAAACTTTGTAGCATGTAAAGCAAAACCTCAAACCTCAAAAGTAGACATCAAATTGTAAATTCTAGACAGGGCCAAATTTAATTAACTCTGTGTCCTTAGTACCTGTCCCTGTATCTGACAAATAAAAGCTCTTTAGTATAAGTTTATTGATTGAATGAGCAATTGACTTCAAATGTTTACCGAGAGCCAACATTGTAATGGGTGTTATTCATAACTAGAATTTGCTTAAAATTTCTACCCAGGGACAAAACTTACGACTTGTTCTTTTCTTTCTGAACACTGGACAAGGAAGAATAACCAGTGTCATTACTAGTGCTACATTTTATTCAACCCAAGAAAATCCAGTGTGTGTGGCTAAAGTAACAGCAGCCGCTCTCCATCTGGCATTATGAAAAGGTATTCACTGGGACCTCCTAGATGCTGGGTACTGTGCTATCCAAATAGCTCCAGATCAAAAGACTGGGTCATTGTCACCATCTGTCAGGGCAGTTTTATTCAAAACAGGGAGTCTCTCCTCATTCTTTTTCCCAGACACATGCAAACTCAATTGAAGACTGTTTATGAAGCAAACTCCAAAAAACAAGAAGTAGAAGTTTATTTATTCATTCCTTTACTCAGCCAGCCAGGGTTTCTCAAAGCATACACTTCTCCTGAGATTTTGTTAAAGTGCAGATATAGATCTAGTAGATCTGCAGCAAAGCCTCAGAGTCTGCTTTCTAAACAAGCTCCCTTCCTTAGATCAGGCCTTGAAGTGTCATCCATGGACTGGTAAACTTGGCATCACCAGAAGCTTGTTAGAAATGCTACCCCAAACCAAGTGAATCAAAACCTGCATTTCAAACAAGAGCCCCACATTAATATGTGATGAGCACCACTCCACCATATAATTAGCTGACAAAATAAATTTTGGGCAAGAGTCCCAATGATAGTAGGTAGGGGTTAGAAAGTAGGGCTAGGTAGATTTATTGTTCCTTTTTTCATTTCAAAACTCTTTTTAAGTCTCTGTGCCAACCTAGCATCTGATGTTCCTTGGAAGACACATATGGATGCCTCTTTGTTCAGTCATTTAGTGGCATGATATGCCTGTTCTTACCCACGCTGATTGCCATTGTCTTTAAATACAGGGCTCTACCTAACCAACTGATCTCCTTCTCAAGAGAACTCCATTATAGGTTAAGAAAAAAGAGTTTCACCAGAAGAGGCATCCTCATGTCCAACCTTGTCAGAATAATTATCAGTTCATATCAAATGCTAGGAGATTAGACCTTCTGTTTGCTTGCCTGTAAAATGGAGATGACAATACCACCTACACTGGTTTCTCATAGAGCCATGTAGTGTGGAGCATGAAACATATATGTGTAGAAGCTTTGAAAACATTACAAAATATTTATGTGATTTAAAAACAACTATTTGGAGGCCGGGGATTTAGCTCAGTGGTTTCGCCGCCTGCTGCGCAAGCACAAGGACCCGAGTTCGATCCCTGGTACCAAAAAAAAAAAACCACAACTATTTGGAGAAAACATCATGTGTATTACAGTGGCAGAGAGATATGGGTTCAAAATTTAGTCTTTACCATCCACTAACTCAGATTTCTGGCAAATTATTTCATCTAGTTGAACTCAATTTTTAAAATATAAAATAGCCATGACTGCTACCATACAAGGATTAGAAATGCTGGTAATATGAATAGAGTCTGACGCATAGCAGAGTTTAATAAATGGTGACCAAGAGCAGCAGACTAAGGGACTTAAGCCTCCAAAGATGCTTCCTCCCTTGGGGAAGCTGCTCAATGGGCACAATATGAAAGGGTGATTTTAATGCTGGTTAAGGTTTTTGCTAAATGCCCGTCCAGTTCAAGAGACTGATATCTTGAAGTTTATTATTTTAAGTATTCTGGAAGAAAAGTCCCCACACTTCAAACAAGGTTTTAATATTTCTTTAAATATCTGAGTAGCAATCACTGCAGAATTTTGAGGGTTTGCTGTGGTTATTCTGTATCATTCACATATTACCATCCGTGGTGCCAGAAAGATCCATTTTTGAAAGCCTGGCACAGTAAGAGTTGTCCATGCAAGTGGACACTCCAGGCCACAGGGAAACAAACAGCAGAATTAGTGGTACCAGGGTCATATAAGGCAGTGAGAGAAGACTGCTCTGAGGAGTGTGGGAATTGATGGTACCCTCATTATCAGAATAACAGAACAACAAATCATCTTTGCTCAAGACATAGGGAGGCAGCTGCTGGACTGTTACTGCTTTAGTGTTGGCAGTCAAACATTGGAGACAGTGGGACTATTGGCTATCTTGAAAAAATGTCTTCACCATTCTTTCTCTGTCTTCACAACCTCTAGCTCATACTTTTATTTTGGAAATGCCGTTTAAGGCCCTCAGTTTTCTTAAGACTCTTCAGGCAGATTGCGCCTTTGGAAAGGTGTTTTTTTAAGGACTACCTATTCTTTCCCTAGAGTTTGCAGAGTTTTCATGCGATATACTTGCAGGTGATATTTCAGAGTACCTGGTGTGTGATTTCACACAGTCTCAGGCAGTGTCGTGTGACCTTTTCCATCTGACTCTCTTTATAGGGCAGGAGATAAGTGCTCAAGGCCGTGTAAGTAGGAGGATAAGAAACCAACTCCTAGATAAGGCATTTCAGTGGCAAACTATTAGGAAGAGATGGGGTGAAGAGGAAGGAGTTGAGCAGGCAGGAAGAGAGGGGAAAAAGCACTTGGTGGCGTGGCCCACAGCTCTGAACAAAGAGCAGGGTCTGTAGGTAAGAATTGAGATATCTTAGGAATATCTTTCTGCTTTAATGATTTAAGAGCAAATGCATCTTGAATCATTTGAGGATTTTTGAGGATGGGATGCAGGACTCTTGCCAGGTAGGAATAAAGCAGTTCAGTGGGACTGTGCTTCAAATCCTGAACAGGTTCCATGGTGGGCTTTTCTGGATCTAGCCTCGACTCTTTGCTCACATTGTTAGAGTCTGACCTGTGATGGGTTGATTATCTCTTCTTTATGTCAAGACTACAGCCCCCAGCCTTCACCTTTAGTCCCTAGCAGTCTTCAGGGAATACATGTATAAAAGGTAAGAGGAATACAGCTCTGGATAAAGGGAACTTCATGAAAGACAGCAGTAAAAACAGGTAGAAAGGCTTCATTTTTAAAGAATATACACCAGGCCATGTGAAATGAGCATTTACCAGGGATCTACACACTAGATTTCACTGTCCATTTTGCCCATTGATAGCTATAGGACCTTGTTAGGCAAGCCATTTTATCTCCTGGAAGTCCACGGGGAATGATGCCTGCTGTAAGTCTACTACACCTATTAAACTATAAATATCCCTAGATTTTTGTGAGGATCAGGTGAAATAATGGATAACATCAAAGATTTTTGAAGCTGTACTGTCCAGTATGGTAGCCACTAGCCATGTGTGATTATTTAAATTAATTAAAATGAAATAAAATGTAAAATCCAGTTCCTTAATAATGCTATCTACCTTTCAAGTGCTTAGCAGAAACATATGGCTAGTGGCTACTATGTTGCACAAATATGTAGAACTTTTGCATTATCACAGAAAGTTCCATTGGCTAACTTTATCTCAGAGTGCTATCTAAAGTATGATACTAAGGATACAATGATGGCACATTGTAGAAGGGACACATGTTATCATAGTTGGGGATTTTTGAGAAGACACAGAATGCACTCACTAGCTAAAGTAAAATGAAGGATTTGACTAATTCAGGAAAAGCAAATGGATCCAAATGACAGGAAGCAAAGCTGAGCTTCAGGAGGAATTGGAACTGCTTCCTGGAAGATTACTGGAACTGAAGAAGCCACTTTCCCCTTCTCATTGTCTGTATCATTTTATCGTGTGTTCTTCTCCTTGAGGCCACTTGGTCTCTTCTCTCTGCTTCTATGTGTCAGGAGCTCCTAATGCCATTGCCTCCCTTTCCCCTCTTTTTTCTCCTCCCTTCCTTTCCTTTTCAGCTCTGCAGACCAACATTCCTTTGCACTACACAAGGTGCATACAGGGCTGAACCACCACATTCATATACCTGGATGAAGGTGACAGGAATGCAAGTTAGAAATCAGGTCTAAGCCTTTTATCATTTTTTAAATGTGAACTGGACACTCACAAGTTCCCTTTTCTCTTCTGCTTTTAGGAAAGAACATGAAGTTTCCTTGGAAATCATTCAGGAGGAAGGTGGATGGGCCTATTTAAGAGAGAGTGAAAGCTGCAGGCCTCACAAGTCTGGGGCCTGCGGGCTGGAAGTGGAAAACCCTGTTGGGCTGTGATCTCTCACTGAAAGGTTCGAAGTGCCTATTTGCTCCCTGCAAAAGAAAGGAAGAGAAGGAGAAGACCATGTCCATAGCCCTGAAACAGGTGTTCAATAAGGACAAGACCTTTCGGCCCAAGAGGAAATTTGAACCTGGAACACAGAGGTTTGAGCTGCACAAACGGGCTCAGGCATCCCTCAACTCAGGCGTGGACCTGAAGGCTGCAGTGCAGCTGCCCAGTGGGGAGGACCAGAATGACTGGGTGGCGGTGCACGTGGTGGACTTCTTCAATCGGATCAATCTCATCTATGGCACCATCTGTGAGTTCTGCACCGAGCGGACCTGCCCTGTGATGTCAGGGGGCCCCAAATATGAATATCGGTGGCAGGATGACCTCAAGTATAAGAAACCAACAGCATTGCCAGCTCCCCAGTACATGAACCTTCTCATGGATTGGATTGAGGTCCAGATCAATAATGAGGAGATATTTCCAACATGTGTGGGTAAGTCCATGATCAGTTTCCCAGGTGGTTTTGTCATATGTACCCACCCACAAGCTCTGAAAATTTGCAGAATTCATTCTTCCAGAGGTGGCTATGACTGCCAGATAACACCTGTGTTAATGGTTTCCCAAATTCCATCAGTCCTATTCCTGTAATTTCTTTCTCCATATGTAAAACTAAATTGAAATGGAAAGAATTAACTTGTGGGCCTCAATGATACATGTATTACATGCTGGGGAACACTAGAGAAATGTTAGGCTTGATCTTATTGGCTTTCTTAGTACTAGACACCAAGCCCACACAGTTATCCTGGTAAGAGTTTTTATTTTTTGCCTAATTGACTAGTTGAGGTAATGTTGACTGTGGTATAATTTCTGGCAGTATTTCTCTTTCAGAATTAAGAAATCCAGTTTGAGAATATATGGATTTGTTTGGGGAGCAAACAAACAGGAGTTCACATCCTGGGAAAATAAAAATCCTAGCTTTCTCCTCTCTTAATCATAGGTTACTAATCCCAGACTGTACTGTTAACCCTCGCATAGCTGCTAGACATACTGGCACACTTGAAATGCAAATGCTTTTGTTTGCTTTGTATTATAGGCTATAAAACTTAAGGGGAGGGACCAAACCTTCTCCAGCCATTACATTTCTTTATGCTGTGGCCACTGGATTTCCAACACATTGATGGGCTGAATTTGGGATTCAGTGCTCTGTAACTGAAGCTCCATAGGAATGAGTGGTCTCCTGCTTCCATGGTTATTTCTCTACTGTCTAGCAAGGTGCCTCGGACCCTACATGGGCACTCAGGAAATATTTTGGGAATGATTGAATAAATATTATGCTATTAGAAAGCATTCTTAAATAGCTCTGAGGTGCAAAAAAGTACATTTGAAACACGCTTGAAATCCCCTCTAGCTGGGGGGATGTCCCCATGTGGCATGGAACACTGAGAAGGGGACATATGGAAGTAATTAAGTTTACACCAGGAAAAAAAGTGTATAAATTGATTGTTGCAGTAATGGTCCATCTTGAAATATTCAGCACACAAGTTTATCAGAATCCTAGTATTCCTTTGGCTTGTCCACTTCTTTCTTTTTCCCGTGCCTTGTGAACAGGAAAGAGGAAGCAGATGAAGTAGAACAAAGGAGGAAGAAGGCAAGTTCAAAAACTCCCCTGAGCATCGCACCTTGGAAGGGTAGGAATTCCTTAGCTTCTTCTTGTCTTTATTCACTCTCATTGACCGTCAGAGGCTACTTATGATGCTGAGAGGAATTTTCCTTGTAGGAGTCTTACAGGTAACTGCTAGAGCTCTGTGTAGAACATAGAATAATAGTTAAGATAAATAAACATGGGCAAGAAGGCCTCCTCTCTGTGCTTCCCTGTATCTCCTCCTGGGTGCTCTGAACTCTGGCCACTTCTACTCTCTGGCAGCTGTGGTTACCACATAGCTTTGCCAACCAGAAATCTTAGTACAGAGTGAGGCATCTTCTGGCTGTAAGCTTGGAAAACGGGGCATCATAGGTGATTTTAGATTTTGCTTGGAGGAAATCAGTGGATACCTTCATGGTCCCCAGATAACTGACTGTGCTTTCTTTTTCTAGACATGTCCTTGAGTCATTCAGCATGCTCAGGGGAAAAAACTGAATCTTCTCTTCCAGGTCTATCCAATGTATGCCCCACATCACAATAGTAATTAATATTCTGAGAAATCTTAATGTGATTTTCCTCCCAATGGAAAAATCCATTTTGGAATTGCTGAGTGAAATTGATTTCTTTACCACAGGATTTTATATATGTCAATGTGACCCATGAATTTCCAAAAAGTGAATATGTTAGTATATGGTGTTTCCTGATTTGACCTGGTACCTTTTTTTTTTTTTTAAGTGAAACACCATTAGCAGTTTTTGGAAAAGTTAAGCTATGTAAATCAGAGTTGTCAAACTTGTGTATATTAAAATCATTTGAGCTTTCTATTCAAAATATAATTTCTTCAATCTTCTCCCTTAATAACTAAATTAAAATCTCTTAGGTGTGATCTAAGAAACTGGACTTAAAAAAAAACAAAACTACTGTACGGTCACTACATTGCATAATTGATCTCTAGAACTTATTCCTCCTACCTAACTGAAACTGTATCCTTTGACCATCATCTCACTTGCTGCTCCCCACCTTCCTGATAACTCCTGTTCTTCTCTGCTTTTATGAATTCAGCTATTTTAGGTTCCATATACAAATGAGATCATATGATGCTTGTCTTTTTGTGCTTGGCTTTTTTCACTTGACATAATGTTCTTCAGGTTTATCTGCAAGTAACAGTAGTTCTTCCCTTTTAGAGGCTGAATAGTACCCTACTGTGTATATGCCACATTTTCTTTGTCCATTCATTCATTGGATATACTGTATATACAAGTTTGGTATGTATATACCATATGTTGAGTGGATATATATATATGACATATATATATATGTAACATTTTCTTTATCCATTCGTATATCTGTCGGCCATTTGCTTGTCTTCTTTTGTGAAATGTCTGTTCAGATCCTTTGTGAATTTTTAATAGCACTGTTTCCTACTATTGAGGTGTTTGAGTTCCTTATGACCCTTCAGTTTTAAAAAGAATCCACCACTCTTCTATTTATTTTGATCACCTGGAATGTTTTTCATGCCCCCCAAAAACAGTCTAGTTACTGTGGTTTTATCCATGTTCTCTCCTGTAATCACCCACTTCTTTGTCTAGTGAATTCCCATGCATATTTTGGGGTCCAATTGAGATAACATGTCCTCTGTGAAGCCTTTCACCTATTAGAATCTAGCCAGGCATGGTGGTACATGCCCGTTGTTCCAAATCCTAGGGAGGCAGAGGTAGAAGAATCACTTGAGCCTTTGACTTTGAGACCAGGCTGGACAACACAGCTAGACTTCTTTTCAAAACCAGAGCAAACCAAACCAAAACAGAAAAAGAAAGTTAAACATCTTAATGTTATAGAATATGTCCTACTCCTTTGAATATACCAGCACTAAGTCCAGTCCTCGTGCCTTATAAGTTGTTGGGCACATGGATGGATAAGTGAATGGATAGATAAATGGATGGGAAAATAATCTTTATAAAGTCCTAACATATGCATGGCAGTCCTAACATTTGCTTTGTCAAAGCAAAGTTTACCAAACATCTTTGAATCCTTTGTTACCATTCCTGGATATTTCCTAAACTTTCCTTCCACATATTTTTTTTTAATTTCCTCTGTTTAACTTTTCCAATGTGAAATATTAGGGGGTCAGTTAAAAACACCACACTATGAGAGTACCAGAATCCTGTTCACCTCTGTGATTTGCTTTCAAATGTTATTGTTGCTGTCTTTTAGAAGAATGTATTTTTAGGAGCCACTTTCTCTGTTATACTTCATTTTCTCCTCTTCCTCCCCCTGATTCCAGCCTACTTTCCTTCCTTTTGATCTTTGGGCTGTCATGAGTCATTATCATGGAGATGATCAAGATGTCTGTCAGGATAAAGTAAAAGAAGAATTCTAGGCAAACAACAGGCCCTGGGAGGATGATGAGTGAGGAGTTCTGTTTAGAATTTCAGCTTTGAATCCTGGGCATGTTTCTGTGTTCTTGCCTGGGAACTGGGGTTGGGGGTCAGTTAGACTTCACCTCCTCCCCACTGTCATTCAAGGAAATAGAGGCAGAAAATACTGACAGATGTGAAGGCTTCACCCTTAGTTAGGTATTAAAGGATGTGAACAGCTGTTGATCTCTGCCATTGAAATAGTGAGGAAAGAAAAGCTTTTATCTGTTGCTAGATTCAAATTTAACTAGGAGCCCCATGCTATTCCAGAAGTCAAACTTTCTCAGATGGGAGAGTACCAAACAGATGCTGCTCCACAGTTTTCTCCAGTCACCCTAGAACCCCTCTGGCTCCCTTTGTTAGAAACCTAACAGATGTGTTTGTTAAAGCTTCTTGGACCCTCTCTTTAACCACCATTAAAGATAACAGCCAACACAGTAAAACAGAAAGGCACAGACTTTAAAAAGAATTCTATTGCCTGTCTAACTATTATCCCCCAGCGTCTCCATTTTTCTGCTAGATATTAGGATTTAAAAAAGAAAAATGAGTAGAAAACTTAGAACTCCTCTGACTCATGTGTTTTTAAGAAGTCTTTGAAAAGGAGTAATAAGAACATCTAAAATGCAGTTACATGCTTTCACCTACCTCTGTAGTTATATAATAAATGGAAATCAGTGCAGGAAAGATCAGGGAAAGGAATGAAAAAGAAAATTCACATCTATGGAGCCTGCTAAATATCAGGCACTATACCTACCATTGTTAATCTTTCTTTTAATTCTTCCAACAGCTCAATGAAGTGAAAATGAAATTAATATTCAATTTCACTAGTGAAGAGGCCAACATTTAAACAAGCTAAGGAGCTTTCTCTAAGTTAGACTACGAATACATAATTTAGGAGTCTGTATTTGAGCTTGAGGGGTTCAAAAATCTATGCCCTTATTATACACTATTTCTTATAGCATATATTATTATTTCACTGATTTTTCTTCATGTGGCTGGAAGCTTTTCACCAAATGATTTTAGGAGGATGCTTAGGATAGAGAAAATTTTTAAGTCTGCTTTTTTTCTAGAACTTTTAAATAAATAATTCTTCTTTTGGCCTTTGCTCTTTTTGAAAAAAACAAAAAAAAACCACTCACCCCTGAAATGCCTGCAGAGTGTGTCTAGGTGCTATAACCGTTTCTGTGCTCTGGTCTAAGATTGGCAGAGGATGGCCCAGCCTCAGGGGAACCTTCTGAGGGCCCACAGCTACCATTGGATCCTGCATTCACTCATTCATCCTTTCAGTGTCTGCTGTGTACCTGTTTAGGACCAGGTCCTATTTGTTGCCAAAAAGCAAGTAAAGTCCCTGTCCTTGAGCAGCTTACACGGGTCCAAATATCTAGTTGCTCTAAATTGCTCTTCATGTTTTTCCAAAATGAGTATTGTTTTCAG